ACAGTAGTGCATATTTTAAGCTCAATACACTACAAGAACAAAAAGCTTGAACTACTAAGACTAATAACAAACCATGATCTCACACAGGCAGTCCCAAGAAACAATTTCACTGAGTTACATAATTTTGAGAGTACAATAAATGTTTATATTCCAAAATCAGCCATTAGGAAGGAAAGAGTTCAAATAAAAAATAATTTAAATGAGTACTTCAATAATGCACATGGTCCTAGAGAGAAAGTCAATTGCTGTGATTAGGGGACACAGGAAAACATTTTCAAACAGCTACCTAAAATGGCCCCGAAGTAAAGGTGGTCTGATTTCTGGAGGTCCAGGGCACCTATGTCTTTCATTAATTTAATGAGAAGTTAAGAAAACTCTGTTTAGACCTATGTTGTATGAAATCTATGTGCTCCTGGATAACAGGATAAGGCTTTGTAATTAAGGCACTGAGTGGGGACTCAGGAGATCTAGGCCACATCTGCATGGAAAATATACCGTGCTTGGAAGCAGCATAATAGTATCTCCAGAGCACTTTAGGCTGGATAATTAGCACCGCTGGGAGACAGTCCCCATTCTAATTAGCCCACTCATGGCTCTGCAGGGATGCAAGTACACTGTATGTGGTTTAGGAGGCAGTGTATGTGTAGCAGCACAGTGTGCTTGAGGGCATCATTGCTAGGGTCAGTATGTTTACCAGGTTAAGATGTGGCCACTCTATTAAGTTCCTGGCCATGTCACAAACTTTGTGACCTTGCACTAGTCAATTTGGGCCAGTAATTTAAAGGAATAGGCAACTATGTACCCTTGATTTCAGTGTTACTGTTAAAATCTGGTCCTTAATCTCTCTATGCATCAGTTTCCCAGCTGTTAAGTGGAGATAAATGTATTAATATGTGGGAGATGTTCAGATTTTAAAGGCATGGAAGCCTGTTAAATCTTTGGATAGAAGGGGCACATATCTGACAGTACATTAGTAGTGTTGGAATATGATGATGGGAAGCTTTAGTTATAATGTCAAAAGTGATTGAAATGACTGATGTGCTCAATTAATGGTTACTAGTGAAGAATGAGTGTAGGAACATACAAAAAGAATTTGTCCATAATACCAAATTCCACATATTCTTCTTAAATTCCTCTGACACTTTGGGTTTTTGATCTGTACTTTTTTCCACATAGTGCTTATCGGTCCAAATCAAAGATAATTTTGTCAAACTGTAATACTAAGCAAGTGATCCGATTTAAAGATCTTTCAAATTATTGAGAAAAAGTACAAATACGTGGTCATTCAGACCTTCATTACTAGCACCTGGTGGATATTGTGATCTGATATATCAGTGTGAAGGGGCATCCAACTCATACAAGTGTCTTTGATCTAGTTCCAAAGCTCCAGTTACAGACACAAGTAGAGGTTCTAATCAATTTATGATATTGTTTTATTTGTCTTTCCCCAAAGCAATATTCCTGCCAGACACGTTTCAGTGTTCCCGTAACTTTGCATAAAAGCTACCACTTAGAGCAGACCCAGGCACCAAAACATATGCCATTAGTTCAAGTTTTCTCAATGTGTACAACAAAGAAGTTACCATAATTACAGTTGGGCTAATCATCAAGACGTAAATGGTCCACTGTCTGGGAGTCGGTTGAACTGCAAACTAATCTTTACATTAAAGATTCAATCCTTTTAAAGATTAAAGAAAATCTTCAGATTTTCAATATTATCAGTGTCTCTACCATTTATAGAGTAGCATTATAACAACCCCTGCTATTTCAAAGTTTTCCATCTAAAGAATACAACAACCTATAGTTTGACAAAATTACTAGTGGCAATGAAGACTGGACATTTTTGGACATGACTCCATCTCCAAAAGTGGCTTTGAGCCAAGTCTTGGTACTGAATCTATATATACGTGGCTGGCTAAATGCTCTTGCATTAGAATAATAATAGTATGGCAGAAATTTTACCTGCTACATTCACAAAAACACTAAAAATAGAAACAAGCTTGTTAAGAGCAAAAGCAACTTTAGTTGCTATACTTTAAAACAATAGTAAAATAAATAACCCCCCCTAAATGAACTGACAAACTACTGGACAAAAGTAGGACTTCAAAATGTAAAGTTCATGGGTAAAGAGGTAATTTCTTTAGGCCATGCACAGAAAACAGTACAAATAACTCTGATTAATTCTCAAGGTAGTTAACTGCAGAACTATTCTACATTGAAAAACCCACAGATATAATAATTCCTTTGGTTCTAATGAATGATTTAGCATGAACTCCTTTTATCTGAAGAATACCTTAGTTACTATAATGTTAATTTAATTAGTATAACTTTGCTGTTGCCTACATAAGATATGTTTGTGCTCCCTTATGATATGCTATTTCCATCAACATTAATTATATTATTGTGATATTCCTTTTCCAGTTCTAAACATCTAGTAAGACCTGTACTACTACATTACATTTAATGGGAATGTGGTGGTCGTTGCTTAGGCAACAAGATGAAGAAATGCAGGTCAGAATGTGCTTCCAGAAAAGCAAAAGCAGGAATATGGTACAAAATGAAGAACAAATATGTTAAACTGATTTTTCATTGCATTAAAATAATAGCATCTGTCAGTGGGAAACAGCCAAGCTATTTTATCCAAATCTGTAATTCATAAATTACTTTATATAAAATAGACAAACAAACAAACAACTTTCATGAAAGCAAAAGCATTCTTCTTTATTAAGAATAATATAACATAGTGCATTTAAATTAGATACCTAATTTTTCCTTTTAGCATCTAGAATTTTGATATCTATATATCAAATTTGATTTTATATTCTGATTTTGGGCTAGAAAGGAACATATTCCTTTGAACATTTTTTGAATTACTTCATGCAAATTACTTCATTACTCCTTTTGGAAAGGAACATTCCAGTGAACATTTTTTTGAATTACTTCATGCAAGACTTGTTACATTATGCTGATGTACATAAATTTTTTATATATTATTATTGGTATGGTTTTCTGGTTACTATTTGTTGTAGTATGAATATCAAATTTACTGTATGTGTTTCCCAGATTATAAACTACACTCTATAATAATACTGTACATGTTGTAAAATGTTTGTCATTTTATTACTATTACTGTTTATTACTATATCAATATTTTATTACTACAATTTTTCTCACTCTTTGTCTAAACATTAGATTCAATAGAAGGTTCTAATTTCCCATTTAAATGCCTGTAACCCTAATTAATATGGGGAAATTGGGTACTTTATGGTGATTGGTATTCAAGAAGAAACTAAATTAGACACGAACTAGACCAAGCTGAGCAGGAAGCTGTAGGTACAAGACAAGTGCACAGGCAGAGCTTAACCCCTAAGGTATCTGAAAGTTTGGTTTGGAAATTTATCAAAAGAACTTTGTTTTGAAATACATATGTACACCTAAGTATGTCAGTGAGAGACTTGGGTCTCCTAGGTTGATTCTTTACCTCATAGAGCATTTGCTATGCTACCTACTCCTCTTACGTCCTCTTCTGAAGAGTTTCTCTTTTTGTAATCTTTTTATGACTGAATACTCCTTTACTTATGTAACTCTAAAGCTGCAGTCCATGAAAGGTACCAATAGTTGATTTTTATTTATTTATTTATTTTTGCCTAGAATGACTTGAAATCTACTTTAAAACTTATACTGAGCGGCTGGAACCTGCAAGTTAAATTGTGGGTTTTTTTCTGCTAAAGTCTTATGTTTTAGGATTTTTAAATTAAGAATATTTAAAGGGGTAACAGTTGAAAATATCACACAGCAGCTATACAGTGGCAGAAAGAAAAATGCAAAATATTCATCCATGAAAATAAAAATAAATAGATCTTTCACAATTTCCTGATTAGTCAATTGCTTGTATATTATTATTAGAAAAATAACTTGAAATGGTTAACTATAACTAAGGTGCTGGTTTTGTCAATTTGTGCATCTTATATAGTATGTGTTATGTATGTGTATATAAATACACACACAGAGCATATATAGCAGTTTGCTACTGTTAATTATTATAGTAGCATTAGAGCTGTACAAGGATTCAAATATTTACAAATACCTTAATTCATGGATAATAAAAATTACTTTTCTATCTTATAACAATGTGATTATTTATTTTTTTAACTACATATATAATGTCTTTAACACAGGAACAGGTAAAAACAGGTCTATGCAGTGATTCTGTGTGTTAGCTTTTCCTTTACTGCCAGCATTAATTTCAGAAGAAAGTGTGTATAAATTATATTTAAAGGCGCTTCATTCCTCCTGGGAATATCCTAAATACTGAGGTGTCTTAAATACTTTTGTCCATTTGTTAGTATATACTAAATATTTAGTTTAACTAGGAAAGTGGTAAGCAACCTTTCAAAGGATTACTATTGCTTTCCTGTTCAAAGTGCAAGTTTCAATCAATGAATCGTATTAACTGATTACCTAAAGCACAAAAGCACTTTACTATAGAATCCAGAATTAGTTAGGAGTTGGAGAAATTTAGGAAATAACTCTCCATAATTAAAATATATCTTAATATATCAATGTTGTGTCGTGTTATTTAACTATCATCTTGGTAGTAATGTTTAAATAAAAGTAATAGCATGTGATGTGCGGCAGACAGGGGTGTGGCCAGCCTTTCTGTACACTGGAATTGCCCCCTCCCAAGGATGGTCTAGAAGTTCTATGGATTTCTACTTAAAAAAAAACAAAACAAATCTGGAGATTGATATGGGGAGGGAAAGAACCATAATGCCCGATTTCTCTTTGCCATGTCCCTGGCTATAGATAGTATTTTGTCAACATGTATATATTTTGTAACTTTATCTTAAGGATATTTTACATATTTATTAAGCTATATGTAGAAAAGTGAAGCACTAACAGCAACACAGAATAGCTCTAAGCTATTTAAGATCACAGAAGAGACAGACAAAAAAGCAGCTACAGCGTCTATAGACAGCTATATACAGAAGGTTTCTTACCATAAATTGTACATTGTCAAATCCATTAGCCATCAAGTGGTTCTCATATTGAGGTAGCCCAATATTTTCCAACCATTGTCCCACTGTCTGAACAGGGCATCTGGGTCCTGTAAGAGGGTGAAGAGGGAGGCGTTTAAGCAACGAGTAGCCATCCACTGGATAATAGCGGTAGTCCTGGGCTGAGAGGTGGCATTGCCACATCGTGTTCCTGGGAAAGTTGTTATCAAAGGAGCCCGCCAGCTTGACAGATTAATGTTTTCAGCAAGAAAGTCAGAAGTAAAACATAGTTTACAGGGAAGCCTATAGAGTAAGATCTGATCCTAGCTCAACATTTCTTAGTTATTAATCTTTACTACAGACCAGTACGTCATACAGTTAAAAAAAAAAAAAAAAAAAAAAAAGACATATCAAGCTGTCAGCTAAGCTGTTCTCCGTTATATGTGATTGTTGGAATACTCCACAATGAGCAATGCACTGCCAGCAGCAAGAATTCTTTTTATCAAGTACTCCTACACTCATCAGTATGCAGCTCCATGCTCCTTGCTCCCCCTCGCTCGCTCCCCTTCATTACCCAGCCTAGGCTACACCTCGCATTTTCAATAATAGCCATCAGATAAGGCAGATTTTTTTTTTGTCTGCAAGCTGTAAGCCTGCTGCTGCTGCTTCCTCCTACACACCCATCCAAGCGTCAATCTTGAATGATGAGAGCAGTCAAAACAAATGCAGAAAATAGCAAGATTCAAAAGCAAACTAAAGCGCTTAAATCTGAATAGAATCTTCATACCAGTTACGTATTACATATCTGCTTGTTGTAGATTTTTACGTTTCAGAAGACATCAGGAAATGCAAAGCATTAACCACAGCCTATACTACATGTTTCCTTTTTAATACAACATAGAAACTGGCTTGCAGTTCAATTTACATTATTCCGAAAATAATCCTCTAATGAATCAATAACAAATGAATGCATGTTACAGCATCTTTCCTGTAACACTGCAAAAGACGCAAATTGAACAACAGCCTTTTAGTCAAAATAATTTGTTTATTATCTTTAGGATTTTTCAACCATAAAATACTATTAGACACAAGAAAACCTTCATTCTAATCCATTTATAATTCATCTTGAAAAGGTCACCATTTCAAATGAACAGCTAACAGAATATTTTAACTAAATAAAATTCAAAGTTCAGATCTTTTCTTATAAAATGAATATCTGAATGATAGCAGGTAGTTATACTAGAGTTTCAATTAGTAGTAAAGAGGTGGTATATTTTCTTTGATTTGTAAGGAAAAAGGATCAGATACAAATGATCAAATGGATGGTAAAGTTATTTACCTGTACAATAACTGGTGTTTTGCAATGTGTATTGTCCATTTATATATTTTTCATGTCAGATCAGCATTTTGGTCAACAGTGCTGGGGCTGCACATGTGTCTTTGAGCTGCCTCTTACTCCACCCTGAGAGAATAAAGGGGACAACAGCCCAACTGTGACTCCTCCACAGAGTCCTTTCTCCACAGAATTCAAATGCTATAGGACTTTGGAGTAGAGGGAAGGAGGACGAGTTGTGGAATATATATTTGGACAACATATCTCAAAGTACTGTACAGATAAGTAATGTTTCTTCTTGGACGGCTTGTCTATATATGTATTCTGGACTTTATGACTCATAAGCAGTGACTTGATCTAAGAAGAAACATGCTTGTGGTGTAGCCGAAGAGTGACTATCATTCAGGTCTGCCAAAAGAAATATCTGACCTTGTTGCCACTACAATGGACAGTGTTTCTGTAAAAATATGAAATGACCCCCAAGTGTCTGACTTCCAGGTGTCTACAACAGGATACTTTTCGAGAAAGCTATAGAAACTGCTAAAGCTCTAGTGGAATTAGCTCTAAGGTAAGATGGGGTTTTGAAATTAATGCATCATAAGAAGCTGTAATACAAACTGAAATCTCTATAGTCTTTTGCTTGAAACTCAAATGAAATCTCCTTCTCCAAAACTGCTGCAGAAAATCTTAGGGAGGCTATGAAAAAATTAACTATGTGAAATTAAAAGGTTGCATTTGGTGTATGCAACCAAATTTCTTCCTTACATGAATAAGGTTTAGGAAAAAATATAGGTGAGTGGATCATTTGATTCACATGAATCTGTGTAGTCAATTTACACAGAAATTTTGGATTGGGCGGGGGGGAGGGGGAGAAATACTTTATCAGACTACTAAACTATATAAAAAGGGCCTTCCACAAGAGTTTGAGCATATCCAAAAAGGGGGTCTCGATAAACAGGGGAAATAAATAGGTTTCTATAGGTTCAGAAGGAGGCGCATTAGGATTACATACAGAATAACACAACACTGAAGGCCTGTCACAGATTAATAGATAAATCTTAATAAATCTCTTCAAAATAATTACAAAGAAAAGTGAGACATCCATATATATTTTTAATAAGAGTATGAAGCACAGAAATGTGTACCTTAGCCAAACTAATGGATAAACCCACATCTTTCAGAGAAAACAGGTATTCTAAAATGGTAAGGCAATTGGTCTCATAGGCTACAAGTGTCTTTATTTGCACCAATCAAAAAATCTTTTCCATATACCTATATAAAGTCAGCTTAATGGAGTCTTGTCTTATGTGAATCCATTATGAAAATGTAAAGAAGAACCTTCTAGATCTGACATCTATCTAGTAATCAGGCTGCAAAGTGGAGCAAAGATAGGTCCTGGTGAAGTATTCATGCCTTGAGTTGTGTTAGGCATGGTAAGGAGAGTCAAAGTCCTCAGGAAACAAACTGACAGCAGCATCAAATGTGGGTACCAGGACTGTTTTAGTTAGAAAGTAGCAATTAAGATGATCCTGTCTGTTTGTTTGGGGGGTGGGTTATTTTTTGTTTTGTTTTGGCAATATGGAAATTAAGGCATTTGGAGGCTATGAATACAGTTCTGTTGACCACTAAATTAAAAATTCATTTGAAAGGGATTCTGGACTATGCCTTATCTCCCCCTGTTCCACAAACAGCCTGCAGTTTTTGTCTATCAGAAAGAACTATTGAAAGGTAATCTCATTCCTTGAAAACATTATCTGTAACTAGTTTTCCATTCATGCACAGACAAAAAATATCTGCAGCCTCGTTGCTAAGATGTTCTGCAGACTTGGGAGGTGAATCACAATAAGGAATATCCAGTGATAATTATACCACTTCCATAATTGAACTGCCTCCTGACATATTGGGGATGACCTTGCTCTTCCCTATCTGCTCAGATAGACCAAGGCACTTACGTTGTCAGTTGTGATGTTAATTGACTGGTTCTGAACATGCTGAAGGCATGTATGCGCAGATTTTGCAAACTTCTTTGAGTTCCAACACATGTGCAGCTGCACACCATTTTAGTAGTGTAGAGCCCAGTAATGATCTGTCCATTCCACACAATCTAAAAAGGTTGTATATATCACTATGATTCTTCATGGACGAGGCAATGCAAAAGATACTCCCTTACACGTATGGCTGGAATCTTTCTTCCAATATTGGGGAATAAATACTGTTTGGCACAATAGAAAAGGCATGTTTAAGTGATATTGGCTCAGAATACAAACCAAGTTTTCAGTCAAACCAACATACAACATAGGCATAATTTGGCAGGCTGCATGACAGAAAAATTCCATAAAAATGAGAAGAATCAGGCATGCCTGTACTGTGGTGTTTGGATTTGGCTGAATCTGTTAAAGCAACGTGTTCTCAGTCTGGCAATAGCATAACCAGGGTAGGGAGATCAGGGCAACTGCCATAGGAGCCAGCAGAAAAAGATGGTTGCTGCCACAGCTGCACAACTATGACTGCACAGTGTGGAAACTGCCCTGTGTGTGGCAGGTGCCCCCAGGGACCCAGCTATGTCTTTACAGCTCTGGGTGACACTTCTGCTGAATGATCAGGAAGCATAAATACTTCCTATATGCAAAATATTTCACTATATAGAAGCATGCCCTTGCAAGTCAATTCCATCTCTAGATTTCAAAAACTGGTTTGTAATTTGATAAGCATCAACATTATAAACTTTATGCAATGAATGAACACTTTGAACTCTCTTTAACACATAAGGAGACAACTTCCTTTTGTTTATGATATCAAGAAGTAGCTGGAATAGAAGCCCCTTTCTTAAAATTGAAATGGATAATCTTTTATTCCAAGAAGTAGAAATAATTGCATTCCCTGATATAGTAGTCTCTGAGGAGATGGGACCTTGCAGAGGGAAAGGGAAAAGGAGTGGATTTGGAACAGTGTGAATCTGATTGAAATATCTACATACAGGTCCCCAACAGATATGGCTGGCCAAAAGACTCTGATCTTGACAGCATGGGAAAAGGCATTCCAAGAGAGACCTATGCATATGAACAAGCACACAAAGAACTACATTACTCAAGTGCTTAGAATCTGACTTCCTTTCCTTCATGTATACAGGACACTTAGAAGGGCCTCCTGGGCCACTGAATCAATTTCCATGCAGGTGTGGGGGAGATTTGGGAAAAATGTCCAATCTTCTCATAGATTTGCATGGAATTTTGAAGAATCCAAGGGTCATCCAAAATCACAAATCCAAATCATACCCTATAACATATCATAAGAAAAGAAGAGGAAATGAGGATAATGCCCTGCCACTGCAGTGATAAAGAAGTAGTTAGTTAATATAGGCCCAGAGGATCCTAGAAATAGGACCATGCCTGACCATGCAGAGGAAGGAAAAAACCTGCCAATCCTTGCCAGTCTGACCTAGAGGAAAAATACTTTTTTGACTCCAGATTTGGCAACTGGTATGATCCTGAATGGAAGAGTTTTCTAAGTACTGGTAGAAACATCAATGTGCTTCAGTCACAAACCCACAGCCTCAGTTGTGGCCAACATCCCAAGGCTTTCAGAGAAAGTTGAAAAAAAAAAATCTTAAGCATTCATGACAGAGGGAAAAATAGAAAAATATCCTTGGCTGGCCCCTAACAAATAGATTACAACATTTTTTAAACATGGCATTATCAGACACTTGCCAAATCACAAGGGTTTTACCTGTATACTCCAATTTAGAGATTGAAAATACATGATACATATCAAACATAC